TGCAGTGAGCTGCTCTGAAGTGAAGACCGGTCGGAAGTTCTGCAGATTGACGCGAGCGTAGTCCATATCCCCTTCTTTGGGATAGACGTCCCAGCATCTAGTCAACGCATCTGGTTTAACTCCGAGTCTTCCGGGACGGAATCAGACAGTCATGTGGAATTGGGTGAGGAACTCAGACCAGCGGGCTTGCCGCCAGGTCAAGAGTTTGATGGTGGAGAAATACTCGAGGTTCTTGTGGTCGGTGACGATGTCGATTGGGGTTCCTGAACCTTCAAGGTAGTGACGCCATGATCGGAACGCATCATGAATGGCGAGCAGTTCCTTGTCATGGGTGTCGTAATTGAGCTCCGGCGCCGAGAGTGTTCTAGAGTGGAAGGCGACGGGGCGAATCTCTCCGTCATCACAATGAATGGAAAGGATTCCGGAGATCGCGTAATCGGGGGCGTCAGTTTCTACAATGAGGGGGGCGTCGGGTAGCCAATGTGTGAGGATAGGAGCAGAAGTGAAGGCTTCTTTCAAGGTGTTGAAAGCAGAGCGACAATCGTCAGAGAATAGCCAGGGGGCTCCTTTATGCGTGAGGCGCATCAAGGGGACCACAATGTCGGAGTATTGGTGGATGAAACGCCGATAGAAGTTAGCGAAACCAAGGAAGGATTGGACATCCTTGACTTTACGGGGCTTGGGCCAATCTTGAACGGCTTTGACCTTCTTGATGGACATGGTGAGTCCGGAAGGAGAGAGGCAGTAACCGAGATATTCCGTAGTGTCCGTATGAAACTCGCATTTCTTTGGATTGGCGTATAGGCCGTGTTTGCGGAGTCTCCTAAGGACTTCTCGGACATGCTCCTGATGTGAAGCCATGTCTTCCGAGTAGGTAAGGATGTCATCAAGGTAGACTACCACAGAAACGTCCAAGAGGTCGGCAAAGATCGTGTTGACAAATCGCTGGAAGGCCGCAGGTGCATTTGTGAGACCGAATGGCATGACAAGCCACTCATAGGAACCATAGCACGTGCGGAAGGAGGTCTTCCATTCGTCGCCTGCTGCAATGCGAACCAGGTGGTAAGCATGCCGGAGGTCGAGTCTGGTGTAGACCGTGGCATGGCTAGGTGCGTCAAGGAGGTCGGAGATGCGGGGAAGTGGGTAGCGATCCTTTTTGGTGATCTTGTTCAGCCCTCGGAAGTTGACGCAAAGACAGAGGGATCCATCCTTCTTGCGGACGAAGAGGACCAGTGCCGCATGAGCGGAAGTAGCAGGGTGAATGAACCCAGAGGCCAGGTGTTCGTCTAAGAACGCCCGGAGGGCCTCGAGTTCCGAAGTAGAGAGAGAGTACGTAGTACCCAAGGGTGGGGAAGTGCCTTCCTCAAGGTCGATCTTTAGGTCATGCTCACAGTGTGGTGCCAGCGTCGAGGCTTTGCTCTTACTGAACACATCTGCGAACTCGTGATACTCCTTCGGAACGGCTGAGAGGTTGACGGAATCGGTGTGGGATGAGGCAGCCCTCAAGCGGCTTTCCTCAGAAGGGATGGTTAGGCTGAAGGATACCGATCCTTCAAGTCGACAAGCCTTCGCAAATGCGGAACGGCTGATGAACTCGATAGATGGTAACGGAGGAGTAGTAGCCTGTGACTGAGGTGCTGGCAAAACATCAGATGGTTGGATGTCAGATGATGGCAGTGGTGCCGGAGACGACGGGGGAGAGCTCGGAGTGACTGTCTTGGTAGGTTCGGAAGTTCGGAACGTAATACTGCTTGAGACCCAGTCAATCAACGGATTGTAGCGGGTAAGCCAGTTGTGTCCTAGGACTAGGGAACATGATCCATCCAGCGATGTGACAAAGAAAGTCGTGGGGGTGATGTTTCCGGAAGCGAAGTGGAGGGGAAGATCAACGGCACGGGTTATGATTGAGTTGGTGCTACCATCGAATAGGCGTAGTTGTAGGGGTTTAATCTGGTATGTCTTCAAGGCCAACTTTTTTACGAATGTGTCGTCGATGAAGCAGTCCGAAGACCCAGAGTCTATGAGTGTGGGTACGTTCTCATAGGAGCGGAAAAGTTTATTGTGTGTCCTAACATTGGATGGAGGAGAAACAGGAGGAGTGAAAGAAGAGAAGCGGAGAGAGGTGGATCGATCTATGGAAGTAGTCGGAGGGGGCGGAGGAGAGAGTGGTACATTAGCAACACTATCTACAACGAGTAGAACATTAACCGAAGGGTCAACATTGAGAGGGGAAAATAGACCATTTGAAAGAGAAAAGGAAACGGGAATGTGGAGGGAGGATAAATCAGAAATGGAAGACGTGTTTAAACACACTTCTTTGAGTGCACAGAAGGAAGGATCGCAACCCCTGGTCCGTGTGGAGTCCATGGGGGTGCGGACTAATTTTTTGCTTCTGCGGAAGCGGCTCCTTGCTCCTCGGTCTGGGCCGAATGGGCCTTAGACGCACGAGAAGAAGACTTGGGACAGTCCTTGACCATGTGGCCAGACTGACTGCAGAACATACAAAGTTTCTTGTCGAGACGACGCTTACGCTCTTGTGGCATGAGCTTGCTGTTGTCTCCGAGTTTAGATGAGAGGTCCGGCTTAACGGAGCTGGCCTCGGACTTCTTATTGTCCCTTGGAGGCCTACTACCGGAAGCGGAGTTGAAAGAGGAGGAAGAAGGGTCGGGGTCGGAATGAGAAGCGGCGGTGGACTTGTCGAAAACGTTAGAGGAAGAGGGTTTCGCATGATGTGTAACTTCCGATTTACGCTCCCAATAGCGTGCATCAAGAGTTTGGGACAGGGTGCAAAGTTCGGAGAGAGTAGAGGGTTTACCTACTCTGGCAATATCGTCCTTGATATGTTCCGGCAATCCGTTATAGAAGAAACGACGAAGCACAGCTTCTCCGTAACCGTGAAGTTGAGAGGCGTGTTGTTAGAATGGGGCTGATACAGACGACTCCAGAGTGGAATCGGAGACTTAGTGTGGAGGGACCTTGGCCTCAGCGACTCAAGCAGAGCGCTGTGCCATTGCTGTTTGTCCATTTGGTCCTTAATTTCACAGTAGGTGAGCAGGAAGTCTCTAGGGGGCATTTCAGGTCGATTTCAGACTGAGCCTCCTGCAAGTATGTACAAGCGCTGATATATATAATGGAGGGGGTGAAAGCACAAGGAAATGAAGGGGAACCGAATCGGAACAAAGGCGTCCGAACAGGAACAAAGGGGTGACAGAAGCGGAGCGGTACCGAAGGTCATAAGACAGAACCTGTGATACGTCTGAAAGGAGGTAAGGAGGGCGAGGCCCAGAGGGGCAGGAGGATGAGGGGAAGTGGGGATGATGACTAACTGGCTAGAATGGGAAGAAGCAGCAGTCCAAATAGGGATGAGGGGAAAATGCGAGAGATACATTACAAGTGGTGAAAGTGCCGAAGAGGATCTGCAAAGCTCAGAGGTTGCGGAGCTTATGGAGGCAGGGTTGAAAGTCCGAGGAATATTGGCAATGGTGTTTACATAGTATGAGGTCACCAATGCAATGGACTAAGACCGAGGTGGAGTCAAAGTCCGAGGTAGGAACTATGATGGAGGCTCGGAGCAAAGGTACGAGCGGCACCCGAGTACGAAGTACAGGTCAGCAGCAGAAGGTCGTAACTTGGTGGGAGGTCGGCAGAAGAGGACTAGAGGGAAGAGAGGGGAAGGAAGAGAGGAGAGGTGTCAGATCCGAAGGTGGGTATCGGAGCAGACGGGAGAAGAGTAGGAGGATGACAGAAGGGTGGAGGTGTTGTGAGGAGGGAGCGGAGGAGGGGGCGGAGGAGTGAGCAGAGGAGTAGGAGGAGGGTGGCGAGAGGGGTGGTGTTCGGTCTGAGGTGGTTATCGGAGCAGATGGAGATAGGACAAGAAAGTGATGGAGGAGTGGAGGTGGCATGGGAGGTGAAGGGTGTTATGGTGCCAGGACCGAAGGTGAATATCGGAATGGACAGCGGTAGGGTAGGATTCCGGAGGTGGGGAAGGAGGAGGTCCGGAAGTCGGGTTGGGATCAGGAATGCACGGATATGACAATCACGAAACGAAATCACTATCCACTGCCCCTGGTCAACAACCTGTTGGAGGCAATCCATGGTTGCAAAGTATTCATGAAGATTGATTTGAAATCCGCATTCAATCTGCTTCAAGTCGCTGCTGGGGATGAATGGAAAACATGAAGGGCTATTTGAATATCTGGTCATGCCTTTTGGTCTCACCAATGTGCCCACAGCATTCCAGAGTTTTATTCAATGGGTTTTGCAGGAACATCTGGGAATCTTTTGCATGGTCTATCTGGATGATATCTTGATCTTCTCACGATCCCAGGAAGAACATGATCAGCATGTTTTAAAGGTCTTACAAGCCCTTAGTGACCATGGGCTGCTTGCCTCAGTGGACAAGTGCGAGTTTGATAAGGATGCGTTAGAATACCTGGGATTCATTATTGGATGGAAAGGCATTTCTATGCATCTGAAGAAACTCAATACAATTATTTCTTGGCCGATACCAAAGTCAGCAAAGGAAGTTCAATCTTTCCTTGGATTCACAAATTTTTATTGTCGGTTTATATCCCACTATTCCAAAATCACATCTCCCCTTATTGAAGTTACTAAGGAGGGGCCTCTTGAGAGATTCCCGCTCAAGGGAGATGCATTGGAAGCGTTCAATGCGCTGAAGGAAGCTTTCACAACCATGCCCATCCTTGCTCATCATGATCCTAGTCTCCCTATCTTCTTGTTCACTGATGCATCCAATTTCGCGATTTCAGGAATCCCCCACCAACCAGATGAATCAGGGAACCTGCATCCGTTAGCATATTTCTCAAAGAAACTATCTGAATCCGAACCAGCCGGGCAATCAGGTCCTACTTTTGCGGTGTAATATTCACACCACAAGGCCATCAAATAAGCTCAATTACCGGAAAATCGGGCCCTTTAGGATTTTGGAATCTGTGGGGAAGAATGCTTACCGGCTGCAACTGCCTCCATCGCTCTCCCGACTTCATTCGGTATTCAACGTGAACCTCTTAGAATGGTATGTGGACCCAAAGATTGTGGACGGTCATGCAAATCCACCATGGCTGCAACCCAAAGTCATATTTGGAGAAAACCTGCTGGATATCAAAAGGATATTGGACATACGGAAAGTCGGATGTCGCTTTGAATACCTGGTGGAACATGTCAATAAGCCTTCTTCTGAGACTAGTTGGTATTTTTTGACAGACATTCCCAAACCTTATGATGAAGTAATCGAGACCTTTCATCACCGACATCCAAAATTCCCGCATCCAGCATTCTTAAACCCGAGCCCAAAGTCTAAGCAGAGGGAACCACCTGACGGACCACAAGACGTACTTGCACCAGTGCCAAGCACTGAGTGGGTGACAGATCCAGGTTATTATATGCCTCCCACTTGGACTATGACTCGCTCAGGACATGTGGTGCACCCACCAAATCGTGACAAAATCTTGGAACAGATTTCCAGATAGCTATTCTGGTTCAGGACTTGAGGATGAGGGCTATGCATTTTTGGAAAGAAGGAAGGTAGTGTTACAGTTAAGCCATAACCCTGGATGGATTTGACGGACGTCTCACATGTCTCACGTGTCTTGTTCATCTCAGTTTCATCTCAAACCATGTAGCCTTGTGACTACCTGTACGGCTCGGATGTTTGGTCTGTTTCTCCTGTCTCATCTTGCATGTCTTAGCCTGCTGTCATGTATATAAGGGGTTGACCAGTGAAGACAGATTCTTCAACTGGTCAACACAGGTTGCCAACCTGAATTGACTTCTTGTGATCTTGTGACTTGTGACTTGTGATCTTCTTGCTCATGACCTCGCTTCTCATGATCTCACAACTCTCGCTCTGCTCTGCTCCGTTCTCATGCTCTTAGCGCCAAGAGGTTTGTGACAGATACCATGAGCTCAACATCATCCTCATCCAGCAGCACCAGTACCATCACCTCCACCTTTGATAGCACTAGTGATTCCACTCCCATATCCAACCTCTCCCCCCCTGAATCAGACTCACTCGATGCGGCGCTTATATCTATCCACTGTGCTCACTCTGCTGCTATGTGGCAAGTTCATAAATTCTTAATATTACTGCTCACTACCTGTGTCCTCCATCCTAATGAGGTTGCAAAATGCACTCAGTTGGGCCTTGTCCTCGAATGCTTCAGACTTAATGACTCCACCCACTTCCATCACAACCTCCAAGTATCACCACACACATTTCACACTCTCCTCTCCTTGATTGAAGACCATCCAATTTTCCACCCAGAGATGAATGCTCCTTCACTCCCTGTCTCCCACCAGCTGGCCATTGCACAGTGGGCTGGTGTCACAACCTGGCAATTCCCACAGTCAGGTGCCCACTCCCCACCCCTTCTCCCACCTCCACTCCAACCCCATCAACTCTGCTGCCTGCCTGATGCTGCCTGGATGAGCCCATCACCCCTCCCTGTCATTATTACCATTTCCATGGCCTGCAATGGGCCTACGAGTCATTCCCTATTACTCTTGTTTTCTTGACAGCCATGCACAACCATCCTTCTCCCATGTTCTTTGTTTGTTTTTATCCTTCTTAAAGCTGCCTGCAATCTCCGTGAGATCTGGCGACTAATTCCTATTCATTTCATTATACTTAAATACCGGTTGTATACTACCTCGTACCTTAGTTCAAAAATCAACTAGGGTTACCCCTGTGCTTCTTGTCTGACTCAGTTGCACCCTCTGCACTCTGAAATATCGGGGCTGCGTCAAGTACAAGGTGCAACGCTCATGGATGAGTCATTGAAGCCGAAACCCCGCTCCACCGCAATTGTTCAACCCCACCCTTAACGGGCTGTTATGCTGAGACAGCGGACCTTAGCGGTCGCTGATGGCAAACCACGGTGATGTTTCCCATGCCCTGACAGTATTTTCGAACTCCCCTCGCTCTTGACGTTAACACTATGTCTTGCAAACCCACAACCCATTCTCAGACCTGCCCACCAGTGGATGGTACTTCCACATCACCATATACGCAGTATACCTCCCATGTATTGTTCGATAGGGAAGAGTCGGACAAACCTCTGTTCAAGAGTTTCATGGCAGACTGGGCAGACTTACAGTCCTGTTAGAACGGGCGGATTCAGACGACTCCGGAGTGGAATCAGAGACTTAGCGTGGAAGGACCTCAGCCTCAGTGACTCAGGTGGAGCGCTGTGCCATTGCTGGTTGTCCTGGGGGTCCCTAATTTCAGATCTAGCAGAGGGAAAGTCTCTTGGGGGCATTTCAGGTCGATTTCGGACTGAGGTTACAAGTTACTAGGTACATTGTATATAAGGAGGGGTCCGGAATCAAAAGGAACAAGGGTAGGACGAAAGGAGACAAAGGGAGATGGAAAGAGGAACAACACCGAGGGTCAAGTGTTTGACTCAATGGTGTTTCCCAAAGGAGGAATGAAGGGCCAAGGCCCAAGGAGGAAGGAAGGAGGATGGGAGTGGGGAATGGCCAGCTGACTGAATAGAAAGGAAGCAGCAGCCCAAATAGGAATGAGGGAGAATAGCGGAATTGAATAGGACAATGCAATAGTTGCAAGGTCCGAGGTAAGTCCGGAAAGTCTGAACTCGGAAGTTAAACTCCGGAATATTGGCAAACATAATTAAATGGAATGAGCTAACCAATACAATGGGTATAAGCGGAGGTGGGGTCAAAGTCTGAGGTCGGAGCTAAGACTGGAGGTTCCAGAGATGGAGACGCCAACAGGGTTCCGGAGCGGAGGTCCGGAGTCGGGAACATAGGTGTTGCATGCTTGTCTGGTGTCAGAACTGTGCAAAGGTTCACCGAGGGTGGCCGTAGGCGACCGAGCATTGCCCACTAGTGGTAAAGGCGTCCTACACCCGACCGAGCTTTAGTGAGGGATAAACCCCACCGATCTCGAGGCCGAGGCTACTTAGGCGAGTGAGCCGGGATTTCAGCTTCAACGACTCTAGGAGGAGCGTTGCGCCTCGTTCTCGACGCGGTCCCGATACTTTAGAAGGTCGGAGGCCTCACGGGGACAGAGGTAAGCTTTAGGGGGTAATTCTAGTTGATTTCGAACTACAGTACAAGCATTAGTTACAAGCTGTATATAAGCGCTAGGGAACTGAATAGGGAATAAGTCGCCAGATCTCGTGGAGATTGCGGGCGGAGAAAAGAAGGAGGAAAACAAACAAAGGGCACGTGTTCAAGGCAGCGAAGGTCAAGCGTGACCTTCGCTGCAAGGTAACAAGGTGCGGAGAAACATGGGACAGCAGGTCGCGGTGCTCTGCGCCGCTAGGTCGTTCAATGACAATTAGGAGAGGGGTTGTGGAGAGGTGGCGGGAAGTGGTTAGACGGCGACGGCGACGGGCGGCAAGTGGAGTGTGCGGGGAGTGTTCGGGCGTGGGAGAAGGTCAGGGAAGAGGTCGTCTTGCCCCAGGGAACACCGGGTCATGACATCTGGAAGGTGTTGAGGTTGAGGTCGAACCCGGAATGTTCCGGAGTCGGACCGAAGGTGGTGTTGGAGCCGGAGGTGGGATAACCTCTTGGAAGTCGGCAAGGAGGAGGTGGCAGAAGGGAAGTAGGACTCTGGAAGTCAGGTTTGGAGTTCCGGGAGCCCGGAGCGGAGGTCAGGATTGTACAGATATGACAGGTCCTCAATGCCAGTGAAACACCGTCAATACTGCCAGCAATGAATGCTGAGCGAAGTTGACAGCGATTCACTGGGCAATGAGGCCGAGGTAACAGCCCAGACCCCAATTGAGCTGGTGCCAGAACCTGAGCCAGAACCCGAGTCAGCGCCACAGGAGGAGTTACCTGCCAATCCGCTGGATATTGTCAATGAGGAAATCAAAGAAATCGACACTGAGCAAGCTGAGCAAGCCCTGCTAAAGGGACGAATGGTCTTCATGCTTACCAGGGCGATCACCGACCTTGCTCAAACCACTCATGACATCCACCAAATCATTCCACCACCAGCACCACCACCAGCTCCTCCACCACCACCTCATCCCGAACCGGCCCATAAGAAGGTCCGTGAACCTGAACCATTCGACAGCTCCGACCGAAACAAACTTCATACATTCTTTGTTCAATGTGAAGTAAATTTTATGACTCACACCTGACCTTTCCTGACCAAGGCTGACAAGGTCCTGTTCACCATCTCCTACTTGAAGGGAGCGGCACTGGACTGGTTTGAGCCCAATATCCTTTGTGGTCACTGCCCTGGTCGAGAACCATGGTGGATGAATGACTGGGCAAGGTATGTAGGAGAACTCGAATGTAACTTCAGCCCATGCGATCCTGTCGGCAAGGCTGAAGAACGTTTGTTCAACCTAATGATGAAGGATGGACAAACTATTGGGAGGTACATTACTGAGTTCAACCACTATGCAGGTAGGTTGGACAACTGGGGCGAGGGAGCCCTCCGTGCCTTGTTCTACTGCGGTCTGCCCAATCATATCAAAGATGAAACCACTCGGTTTGGTAAACCAACGTCATTGTATGACCTATGGGACCTCGCCGATGAGATCGATATGCACTACTGGTGTCATATCCATCCCTGGCCATCGACTTCCGGTCCCTCCATTCCCTCCGGTCTAATTCTGCTCCTTCTTCACTAACCTTGGAGCTCCCATATTCCGCAATCCTCTCGGTACCCCTCGATGGTCACCACCCCCTCATTTCAATTTATTACCTACACCTCCCTAAGTATGGAGCCCCAAAGACTTCCGGACAGCTCCGACGTCCGCTAGCGCACTCCCGCCTCTGCTGGGCAATACACTCGCCTGCCCTGCAGAGCCCGCCTTCGGGCCTATCCCTCCTTTCCGTTTCTGGGTTATCGCCTGCCTTACCGCTAACCCCGCGACCCGACTCGTCGGTAATATTCAGTTGGCTAATGCTTTAACCCCATTAGCTCCACTCCGTTCGGCTCTGCCAATTGCAGACCCATCTTCGCTGTAACCATATATATATCCCGCTTGTACATAGGTTACACTCCAGTAATAAAATCAACTAGAGTTACCCCCCTTCGGTTCTGATTGCCAGTCAGTAAGTTAGGGCACGGACATGTCACTAGGCACAGCGCTCCTGGCAGAAGTCGCTGAGGCCAATGCCCTCCGCTACAGAGACTCTCCCTCATCTCAAATCTGGTTTCTGACAACTGGGAATGAAAGGCCCAGACCGATTGGCACAACAAACCTGCCTCCGACACCCATGACAAAGGCTCCCAAAAACTGCACCCTGCCAAATCTCAATGATCTGCTGCACCTTCCCCTGCCACACCCTCCACATCCACTAATAGTAAACCAAAGGACAAGCATCCTGACAGTAAGCCAAAATCTGACCTCGCCGCAAAACTTGGGAAAGATGGGAGGCTAACCAAAGAAGAGCATCAACAGCACTTCGACAACAACCTATGCATGTTCTGCAGTAAGCCAGGACACATAGCTAAGGATTGCTACAAGGCTGGTTCGAGCACATC